ACTTCCTCAACTTCTCAAACCTCCACTATGAGATGGTCCCTCAAAACCCCGAGGATACTAAGCCCTTGTCTGCAAGTGGCCTTCCTTAAACTAGCCCTCCTTCCTACCTGTCTCTCCTGGGCCCTCTGAGGGAGCTTCCGCCGGCCTCTCTGGTGGCGCTGCACCCAGCCACTCAGCTCGTCAGCAAGCCTGGGGAAGCAGAAGAGGGGAACACCTCCATGCCAGGTCAAAGCTCCCACTTTCCTCACCCGCAATACACATAGGAGGGAGCAGAGCAGGCAAGGAGAGCTGGTGCTCTAGCAAGAAAGGACAGCCAGGCCATCCGTGGAGGGGCTTCAGAATGACAAGGAAGATATCCCAGCTGTGAATCCCCCACACCTCAGGGACTCAGTTCGGTTGACGTGCCGGCAGTCAGAGGAGAGGAAGAGCTGGTCCAGGTCTCTTAGCAGCAGTTCCTTGGCACCCCTGGTGAAGGCTGTCAGGTTCCTGGAGTGAGGCAGTGGGGAGGCAATGATCGCAGGCCGCCCAGCATGCCACCACCCCCCATCAACAGAAAGGGCAATGATGGCAAGAGAGCAACTCCAGCTCCCCTCAAAACGAAAAGGTACTTTTGGGGGAGACAACACACTCAACACCCCCAAAAGACAGAGGCCCCTCTCCTCACCTGAAACCTGGCCAGCCTTCAGGGCTGGGCTGGGACTCCTCAGGGCCCTGGGAACCCTTAAGGGTTTCAACCCCATGAACCGGCAATTGCGCTGAGAATTCTAGCAAGTGTCTCCGGGGTCGAGGCGCCTCTCTGCTCATCCCAGGAGAGACAGGAGCCAATGGTGGCTCACTGATGCTGTGGACAGGGAAGGACAGAGCACAAGGAAGAATTCTGGCTTTGTTGGGAGGCTGGTTAAAAACAAGGGCTCTGCAGACAGCCCAGCTGGCTTCCAATCTGTTCTATAAGGCTGAATCCATTCACCTGTAAGATGGGAATAAGAACGGTCCCTACCTCCTAAGGCCAGGAAATATGAGAAAGGAGAGTGCTTAACCGAGAACTCAGGAAGCACTTAATAGTCTGTTTTTATCAACATTATCACCAACATCTACCCCAGGACCTACCATTTGTGAGAGAAATGATAGAACAAAAAGGGACTGCTGGATATACCACCGTGCCAGGGACATGAGAGTTGTCTGTGTGTACGTGGAATGAAACAGACCGTGCCAAAGCAGGAATCAGGTGACTGTGAGGGTGAGCTCCACCTTGAAGGTTCTGGAGAGGCAAGGCAGGTCTCACCTGACAGGCCCGAAGTTGAAGGCAACGAAGAGCAGGAAGACCATGATGCAGACCACCTTCCTGTTTCCAGACCCTAACTTGAGCTCGCTGTTCTAAGGTGCAGAGGAAGAGACAAGAGAGGGTGGGTCCTTCAAAGAAGCCTTTATTCCCCCTGGTCCCCCAAGGACAGATGTCTCACCTCAGCCAGCAGCACCTCCAGTCGCCGCCGGAGGGCAGCATTCTCCCGGCGCAGCTGCTGGTTGTCAGCCAGCACCGCCTGCAGCCGAGCTTCCAGACCCTGCAGGTACTCTTTCTTCTTCCTCCGGGACTGGCAAGCGGACTCCCGGTTCTTGATCATTCGCTGCTGCCGCTTCAGCAGCTTTGTCTAAGGCACACAGAGGATCAAAAAGGGAATGAAAGGTGGGTAGAAGAGGGGAACCATTACCCAAAGCTCACAGGGGCCATTCTCCTGCCTTCCTGACCTTACTTACTCCACAAGAGAGGGGGAAGGGTTTTTCCTCTCTACTAAAACATTTCAGGGAAAGGGTTCTTCTCTCAGCAACTCCCTATTCCTGTTCCTCAGAGCTGAGAGAAGTTAGACTGTAGGAAGAACTTCCTCCATCCTGGTTCCTAAATCTCAGTTTCTCTCCTTAGTGGCTGGTTTTCCTTCTTCTCAATTCTCCTTTTTGAAGGTCCTACATTTAACCTTGCTATAATTAAAGAAGTTTAACTGGCTTTCTCCTAGGAAACAACTTCCCTTTTCCAACTATGGCCACAACCATAAGATGATGACTCCACTGCCTTTGATTTACTGAGATCACCCCCATTTCTCCATCTGCAGTGGTAACAAAAATAAGGATCCTAAAACTACATAAAGTTGATATTCATATATAAACAGGGGTCCACTCTGACCTTCAGGATCATCTTAAGGGTCTGCTTCCTCGCTTTTTGTTCTCTTCTCATCCCACAGTTCTCTTTCATGACAGACTTTCCTCTTCCATTCCCTTTACTAGCCCTACTCCTCCCCGCGCTGCCCCTGCCCAATACTTACATCCACTTCAGGAGGGCAGGAGTTCCCAGGCATAGGAGCTGGAACAATGCTCTTCCTTTCAGGCCGTGGAGCAGGCGGGGGCGGCCCTTCAGGCTGGACTCGAATAGCACCTTGGATGAGGACAACTGGGGACACTGGGGCAAATGAGCAGGAGAAAGAGGCAAGAGAGCTATAAGTCAAGTGGGGTCCTGTGTCCACACCTAAGCACATGAGGGCCTCAGTGGCTCTAAACTCCCTTAGAAGGTCAATCTAGCCCATCTCCTTCTCTCCTTCTTCAGTACCTGGGGGTGGCTGGACAAGGGGCTGCAAAAGGACGGTGGTGCTGGGAGGCATAGCTCTGGGTGGCACTGGGACAGTGGTTATCACCACAGGTTTGGGCTGCAGTGGTGGCTTCCGGGTGGGCAGGGCTTTGCCTAAAGGTAGGTAAAGGAAGGAAGAATTATCAGGACTACAGGCCTTTTGCCAGGGAGCCCAGGTATTAGGAGGCCCCAATACCTGAGGATCCATCGGGGGATGGACTCATGCTAATCTGGAAAGCTCCAGGTGGGGGGCCTGGGACATCCTGCAGGAGACACTCTTGAGGGGATGGAGACTCTGTCTTCACTTCTAGTATCTCTCCTATAAAATCCTATGAAGGGCATTCCAGAAAATGTGTGAGTCAGGAGGAGTGTTGAAGAGAAGAAGCTAAAGAAGAAAAAGCTCTTGTTCCTCTGAGTCAGAAGGAACTCACTGTAGTGCCTGGAGGGAGGGAGGGACATTGATGCTCACCTGGTTGGGAGACTCTGCTGAGAGCAGGGAAGCCTCAGAGTTGACGGAGGAAGATGGAGAAACAGGTTCTATCTTGGTATGGACATCTGTGGGGTGGCAGGATGAGACAAAAAGCTGGATATCAGATAAACACTGAAGGAGAAAAGGGTTACAATTGGGAAATGAGAGACATGGTCATTTCTCCTTGTTCCTACAAAGAAAACTATTCTGGTCCTAGGCAGGCAGTCCAGAAGGTGGAGATGCCATGGGGCTGCTAATCTGCAGACTCTCCTACTACCTCTTTACTCAGGACTGCCTTTCATCTTCAGGGGCTCCTTCGTTTGTTTTTTTTCACCACTGCTCAATTTTCCTCAAGGCTATCCTTGCCCTTTCGCTTACCCTCTTTCTTCCTCATGGACCTTGTCCATTCACATAGATGAGGCCCAAGCACAGAGAGTCTGCAGCATTCATATGGGCCCATACTCCCAACTTGTTGGATTTTCACCTCCTCCTGGCCCAATGTCACAACACATCTCCATGCCGACAACTGCTAAGTCTGCATCTCTACCCTTGACTGCTCCCCTGAGCCCTGATCCTAATTCCCAAGCTCCCTGCTGGTCACTTCCATTCTTATGCCCCACCATTTGCCTAAAGTCAACTGAACTTATACAGGGCTCACTGTTTGTCCCTTCACACAAATTCCCTTCCCGCACCTGTCAGCCTCCCAGGCACCAAATCGCAAAGCCTCAGTTACCTCTGAGCCTTCATAGCCTCTGTTAAATCTATCTATAAGACTTGTTGATTGCCCCACATAGGTAAAATAAAACTTAGCTGACGGCCAGATTTAGCCCTAAGGTCAACAGTCTGCCACTACCTCTGGTCCATACCACTCATTTTGGTACTTAATGATCTCCAATATTACTATTTTAAAACTTCAAATCAATTTATATTTTTGAATAGGTAAAAGTCAGGCAATATAAAATTCCAAAGGAACAAAGGGGAATTCAGTGAAAAGTGAATCTCTCTCCCTTCCTTGTCCACCAAACACCCAGATCCCCTCCTCAGAGGTGATCACTACTTGAGCTATTAACCCTGTGTTATAACACATGAGACTCTCCATGACTTTCCAAAAGCAAAGACTATGTCTTATGCCTCGTGCCTATCAAAGTGAAGAGTAAAGTACAGGCCCTCAAAAAATACAAATCATAAAGGACTATCTGGCTCTAATAATACTATCGTTTGTAAAGTCATCAACAATCTTTTTACTGTTAAAGGCTTTACAATCTTTATTTTGTGTCCTCTTTGTAGCTTTTAATAACATGCTGGATATGATCTGTTTGTCTCTCCAAATCCACTCTCCATCGTTCCTTGCCCTGCTCTGAGGCCCAGGAAGAAAACATGAATGGATCGTATCATGGATCTCCCTTGCCCTCTTGCTTCCGGCTGGAGTTTAATGAGAGAGGCAATGCCAGGAAATTCTGAAGGTACTTTGAAATCAACAATAAACGTGTCCAACACTGACTTCATCATGCTCCCTGAGCAGAGGGCTCTCATTCTTGCAGTCTCCATCCAGTGAACAGTACCATCACCCACTGGATGGCTGCCCTAGCCAGAAATTGAGGCATCCTCTCTCTTCAACTCCTACCTCTCTCCAATGCCCAGAAGGTGACTGCAACTCATCCATTCCATTTCATTCTTTCTGCCTTCTTCTCGGCATTTTTTGGCATTCTAATATCTTACTTGATTAACTGCATAAGCGTCTTCCTTGGTTCACTTCTTCCTGTCTCTAGTCCTGCCTTTCTGCAATCCATCCTCCATTCTGCTACCAGAGTCATCTTCCTAATCATACTGCTCTCCTGCTTGATTTTTCAAAGAGTTCCAACCGCCTACAGGATAAAAGCTAAGAGGCTCTTAGCAGGGTTCCCACCTGATCCTGAAGCCTTGGCACCTCCTTGCCATTCCCTACTCCCTGCTCATATCTACTCTGACGAGATACAGGTTTCTTACACACACACACACGTCCCCACATTATTCTGGCTAATTTCCATGTGTCCTTCAAAACTCAGCTCAGGAAATTCTTCCTCCAGGAGCACATTGTTGATCCAGCCCGAATCCAGTGGATGACCCCCTCTTATGAGCTTACATGGCACCCCGTAAAGATTTCTATCCTAAAATCCTGAATACCACACCTGTATTCACTGGTACTTGTCTTTCTACCGCCACTACACTACAGTATTCTCAAGTCAGTGTGGTGGTGATGTCTTCTTCATCTTTGCATCCCCAGCACCCTGTCCAGTATCTAGCATGGAGTAGGGGCTCGATAAATGTTTACTGAATAAACACACGAGTAGATAAACTTGATAACATTTTTAAAACATTGCACAAATACTGTTAATTGTAGAACACAGGAGTTAGGCATATAGTATTCCAACTTTTTTGTTTAAAACTTTGTATGATAAAATGTCACGGTGAAAAAATAACAAATAAAATATGCCCTAAACTATCTATAGCTTTTAAAAACTGCAAAGCAGCAGAAGTTAAATCACAACAGGATACTAGGAACAAGAAAAAGAAACACCATATCCATCTCTTTGGTGCCGCCCTTGCTGTGGTTTCCTGAAATTCTCCCTCCCACTCCTGGCCTTTCTTCTGGTTATCTGCCATTTACCCTCCCTACCTTTTCCTCCTTGTCCTGGTGCCTGCCCCCCACCACACCCACACATACATGCGTGTGAACAAGAACACATATTCTACCTTGGTAAAGCCAGGGGATGGGGAGTAGGCTGTTATTACCTGAGGGATTATCAGAGGTGGGGCCCACATTGATATGGATGGTTTCAAATGGGGGTGTTGAATCATCTCTCAGGAGGCAGAGTGGAGGTGCCAAGGACTCTATCTTCACAACCAGCACCTCCCCCACACCAGAGGCCTGGGTGAGAGCAGGGGTACAGGGGAGCAGAAAGAAGAAAACAAGGAGACGTGTTAAGAATAAGGGCAAGAACAAAAGCTTTAGAGCTTACAAACCACCAATTATCCGACATTCTGGTTTGAATGGTACGCAGTATCCCCCTAATATCTTTCTGGCCCCTGTTCTCTCCTTCTACTTTATTCCTCAGAAGGTTGATAAAGTCTCACCATTTCAAATATTGTCCTAGAGTGGACAACTTGGGCAGGAACAGTTTCATAATTCTTACCAGTTGACAACTCTTTTTCCCCCACCCCATCACAGCTGCCACATATCTCCATTAAAGATTGTTTTCACTTTTAGAAACCAGAGTGGAGATGTAACCAATGGGAATGTTAAAGAAAAGACAAATACAAGGAAAAGCTCCCTCACCCCCATGCACACAAATCAATCTTCAGCACCCATGGGTGAAGGGAATGGAGCAGAGTCCCTGCCACATAGAGTAGAAGGAGGGAGATGTCTCTCTCACCTGGCTGGAGGGCTCTGTGGAAAGATGTGATGATTCCGAGCTGAGAGAAGAGGAAGAGCAGGGAGAGGATGGCTCCGACTTCACCTGAAGATCTGAAGGAAAAGGGATTAGAAAATTACCAGGAAGCAGAGTCTGAGAAGAATCCTGAGTGTCCAAGGACATATGGGTGAGGACCCCTTCACTGGGGCAAAGGCGAAGGAACGCATGAGCTGTTAAAGGGGAGAGGAGTGCACAGACACTCACATGGAGGTGCGAGGACACATGGAATTACACGGTTTCTGGGAAACAGTGGGAAGTTGAGTTTCTGGAAGGATAAGAGAATCACAAATGATATCTTACCTGGGAAGATAGGCAGGGGGTCCCATGGGGGTTCAGGGAGGCTGACATCCATTCCCACATCCAGCATGCTGCTGCCAAACTGAATAAGGGAGGATATTAGATGGCAGGAGTGTGAGAAAGAAGGGGTGGCTCCAGATGAGCTCCGGCCTGGAGAAGAGTCCCGGTTCTGGGACCACTCCCACCCACCAAGGATAAGAGACAAGACTGCTGGGGTAGAAATACCGGGACATCCTGCTCCGGACAACGAAAGAGCTGCGTCTGCTCCTCAGCCACTTCATCCAGGCCGGTATACAAGGTGCAGTCTGCAAGTGCGGAGGGTCAGGGGGGTAGTCCGGTGGCCCTGCCTACGTACCCACACACAGCCCTCACTTCATCCCTCATTGGATCCACTCCGCCAAACCCACCGCCCGCCCACTTGAAAGTGTTACAACCAAAGAACTTCAGCCCCTCCTTCCCCGAACCCGGAATAAATCGACGTTTACGCAGGGAGCGGAGGCCTCTTGTATTCCCGCATCGCACGAAAGCACAACGGGCCCCCCTGCTCCGCCCTCCCTCGAAAGGTGGATTCCGTATTTGCCCAGCCTTCCTCTTTGGGCCTCAGCTTCCTTCCTGTGTGCCTCAGGGGCACAACGTGCCACAGCCCTCTCCCCTCCCCCAGGCCTCACTCCGCGGACCCCAGTCCTCCGGGTTCAGCAAGTTGTCTGTAAAAAAACGCGTCGGGTCCGCAATCTCGCTGAGGAGCATGAGCTCCGCCATTTTTACCCCCCGCCCCCCACAACCATGAGACGGTTCCCAAGGCCCGCCTCTCCCCATCACCAACTAATCAGTTGACTCTTTAAAAAAGGGGGCGTCCCGGAAACTCTGTCGACCAGTAAGAGACCTAGGTGCTGAGCACATGAATCAACAGAAGAGGCGGCTGTACAGGCAGGACCAATGGGAGCACGACAGAAGGGTGCACTTCTACCGTAACCGGCCGCAGATCTTGCGCATGCGCGAAACGAGACCCAGCGAGAAAGATCCTGGAAGATGTAGTTCCCAGGATTTGAAGGTCCGGTGTCTACCCCAGCCAGTCCTAAATTTTAGACAGCTTCTATTCATCTTCGGAAATGGATAAGTACCGCCCCCCTTTGTAAAAAAATAAAGTAGCACACATGCATATGGTTT